TGTGCTTTCTCTGAACTCCGCTGCGAAACACGAGTCCGTAGAAAATGGAGTGTAGGAACGATTTCCAGGAAGTTAAACTCGTGCTCTCTGGTCTAGCCCGGGTGGCCGGGAGGACGGGGGAACAGCCAGGGCTGAGACGGGCCTTTGAGACCGGGAGAACCGCCAGGGCCGTCCACCGCCAGGGCCCGCCCTCTCTGTCCCACGTGGGGCTTTGCCCAGAAGTCGGCGCCCCATCATTTCCGTTGCGAAACTTGCCGAATTGGTTCTCCAGATTATGCCATTCCTGTCTGTGTTCTTACCGAGTGCGAGGCCAACTGTAAAAACAACATTTGGATCTTCCCCCGAGGCAGGGGCATGTTCAGTCGGGAGAGGAGGGGTACGTCTGTTCCCTGGCCATGGCGCGGTGTGTGCGGAGCGGGTGTCGGGAGAGGGATGCTGCCCGGTTCCCGGCTCTGGGGTCGGCTCGACGGAGGACGCAGGGTGGCCCTGACGCGGTGGGGCCATTGCCCTGCATCTGTTTCTGGAGGCCCCAACTTCCTAAGTCCTTTCTCTCCACCTCTCAGCTCCAGCCCGACTGCTGTTACTTCGCCCGAGAGCGCTTGTTCCCCGCGTGGACAGCGTGTCCCTGCGTGCAGCGTGGTGTGGGCGGAGCACTAATGCATTCTGGTGGAAGGCGGGCATCAAACCCTCTGCCTAGCGGGTGATTCCTGCTTCCGGTCTCAGGCCGCCTGGGGTCCAGGGGACGGCCCCTCTGTCGACGGGGCCCAAGCTCCCCACCTCTCTTACCCTCCCCAACCACGCCGTGCCCTTTACCCAGAGCAGGTCTTGGTGTAACTCCGAGGGTGCCCTTACCACCAGCCGAGACATCAGAGTCTTCCCTGGGGGACTGTGGCTCGCTGGTGTGCCCAGACTCCAGGTCTGATGAGTGATTCTGGCCCTGCCGCCGTGGCATTCTCTCCCTGCAGACGAGCGTATTTCAGCCAGGAACGCCAGTACCTGGTGTGGAGGCAGGGCGGTTATGGGGGTGCTGCTCTGGCCTGGGAGTTACTAACTCTGAACCCGCTGCCTTCCCACAGTGACCGAGAGCCGAGGGGTCCTGGACAGCATCCAGAGGTTCTCCCTGCTGCCCACCTACCTGCCCGTGACCTACCACATCGACGGGGCCGATGCCGCCTTCTTCCTGAAGGAGGCCAACCAGGACATCATGCGGAACTCCAGCCTCCAGTCCCGGGTGGAGTCCTTCCTGGTCTTCAAGTCCCAGAGGCTGCCTGTTCTCAACGTGAGCTACGGGCCATTCTCCATCCAGCACGTGGTGCCTCAGGACTTACTGCTGCCCTCCAACCCGTTCGGACCCACCAGCAAGTTCTCCCTTAACTGGAAACTGAAGGCCTACGTGCTGCGGGAGAGGATCTACCTGAGCCGGCCCAAGGTGCAGGTCCTGTTCTACGTCGTGGGCCGGGACTGGGACGACCACGGCTCCGGGGAGAGGCTGGCCCGCCTGCGTGTCTTTGCCTTCCGGGGGGCGCCGG